CTCGATGATAACATCCGAAGATGGAGGTGCACCGAATAGAGACAATTCAATTGGCGATTTTGAATCATTGAACGGCACGGATGATGATGTTGAGGCTGCATCTCTGAAAGCTGATTGTTTGAATGACTCTGGAGCTAGGAAATGAAATGATTCGAATCACTAAATGAATTGAAATGATTCGAATCACTAACTGAATTGAAATGATTCGAATCATTAAAAGAATTGAAACCGTTCAGTTTCGGTTCAAAATATATTGATGAGAAATTGAGTTTAATGCTCCAAATGAACAAATACTAAATTGCAATTCACAAAAACTTCAAAATGATCATCAAACGACGACGATCTCAGTTGATCTCATATAATTAAGGTTGTACTTGCAGTAGAATACTTTGAATGTTACATGAAGTCTCGTGGTCTATAATTATCTTTGAAACGTACGCGTGCTTATTTTTGAGACGTGTTTGCTTCGATACGGAATCATCATTATCATTGCTCGATAACTGAAACTGATTTTCAGCATCATCGTCGCTACCGCTCGTGAAATTATTCTTCTTTGCCCATTCATTGATGATTTCGACCATCGTATTATACCCTACATCATCAGCCATCGTTGCGTTCGGTCTACGTGCCGATGCCACTCTGGAGACCGGATCGACGATTGACTGAAAATGCACTATCATTGTTATCTTTATTATTGATATCTTTAGTAATGTCATGAATCTTGTTGCTTGCATTTGTTTGGTGAACATTTGTTTGGTCGATTACTCTCGGCGATTGATTGCTGTTATACATAATTACTGGTGTTATTATTCGGTTGTTCAATTAGGCAAAATATTGATGATGACGATAATGAATGTTCATTGTTGCTTGGATGTTAAACGCTTAATATGCATATAGATATGGATCTGTTCGGTTACATCAGTCATAATCGCTATTTACCAGTGATCCACAGAGAACTAGTTCATGGCCATCCATTGTTTTCATCAGAGCAAGGGATTATTTTACATATCTGATTCTAGTATTTTTGGCTTGTTTCAAGAGCCTCTCCCTGGAAATTTTCGGGTATGATAGAAGAATAGCCCTACGCCCAAATGAACGTCAAATCAATAACTGGAATGAGAATTTCATGATGAGAATGTTTCCTTGTGACTGGTTCGTTGGCAGTGTGGAGAGAAGAGTGTCAGAGGAGGAACAATGTAATAAGAATAAAAATAATAAGGAATAATAAGAATAAGATCAAAGAAATATTTGTGATATTGATAATAAAACGGAGAAGTAAACTCGTAATGAGTTGAAATTACTGATTAAATGAATAGTCACCAAAATATTTTGCTTACTGCTAGCCGTATCCTTGATACCTCCATTTTCAGCACTTTTAAGTATATTACGTTTAATTTCAAAGTGTTTGTATGCACGAAACGAATGAATATTATAGTTCAAGACAACAGTGATAATGATAATATGTGATAATAACAGAAATGAATACGAATAGTAATTCTATAAACAATGAAAATGACAATGGAAATAAGTAATTTTGATAACCCAATAATCATTATCCTCTTTTTCGGTATGTTTCGGTTCAGTTGTATCCTCACCACTCTTCTTATGTCGCCACTGACTGCTGTCGAATACGGATGAAAGTGGCTTGAAAAAAATTCAGTTTTTGAATTATTTTTACATCTGTCATAAGATTAAGATTACGACAACTAACTTTATTGGATGATCAGTGCGTACTTGAAATGAACATAAATTACGCTTAATATCGCTGGTTTAGATCCTGTTTGAGAGTGAAAATTTCGTTCAAATGATTACTTGAAAATAGAATCGATGAATATTTTTGACTATATGTCAATGAATCGCAAAATAAATTCACTTTGCTGTGCATGCAGTGAAGTAATATTAAATATTACTTCTTTATGACGTTCAATATTACTTCGCTGTGCATGCAACTAATCGGTTGTTAAAATGTTCGTACGATATGTTTATTAAGAGAATATGAAACTAAACCTTGCCATTTCTATACGCATCAAATAAAACATATAATGCAGTCAGCGGTACCACAAATAAAGGTCCCGTCATCGTGATCCATGCCACTAATTCATAATATATGGGCAATATTTTGCCTTCGAATGTCACTCGTTGATATGTGAACACTGATGACACCAACAAAAACTGCAATAATACACTTTGTCATCAAATGAACTATTATCCACGACTTAAAATATCAGTTTAAATGTTGAATTCGGATGAGAGCGTCTTCATAATGATTCCATTATGAATTTGCATTAGAGTGCGATTGTCTTGTACCAATTGAGCTTGGCCAATACTTGTAATTATTGTTCGTTGAATCGTTTCAATTCACTTAAACTGCGGAAAAGTTCTTCAGACAACTGCCATTTCCGAAAAAGAAAGCTCAGATGTGTTCTACAATATCATTACAAAGAAACGAAAAGCAGTGTGCAAAATTTTTTCAGTACTGTTTGCATTGACACCAAAACGAATGCCATTCCAAGCACTGTCCAGCAGTGAATTGTGAAAACTGATTTGTTGATATTACAAAATGCTGCTTTAGGTATCCTCTTGACTGATTGTAATTTTAACCAACCAAAACAATTGCAAAAGAATATATTCTATAACAAACTCCGAGAACACATGGACTGAAAAAGCTCCACGTCCATCGTATGTATGTACCAGTCGGACCGAAAAAGAATTTCGCTTTCACCCAAAAACTTATCTGCGCAATGCTCAAATTGTTTGATCTTAACTCAGCTTCAAGACTTGTCGGAACTCGTAACATTTCACCGATATCTTCGATGAAATTATCAACACCTGAAATTGAAACTTAAGACGGTTTTGAAATCCTTTCATGAAACTGCACAAATCACAAATATGATTTTAACTGATCTTTTCATAACATTTCTGCATTTATTTGAGAAAAATTATCTTACAAAATAATGGCTACAGTTATTTGTCAGTTTGAGCAGTAAACGACGGCAATAAAATTGATGATAAATCAAGGAAAGCTATAATCATAAATATTCTCAATTGATAATTGAATTAATCGACCTTATTCTCGTCAACTGAACTTACCATAAATGTAGCAAACAATAACAACCAGTAAAAGACTCAGTGAGAATGAATTCCAGTTGGCATTGAGGTTTTCAATCGAATGGAATATGAAAATACCACCCTGAAATTTAGATCGCAATCTTTGTTATTCCGCGAATAATTTTAATTGATCTTTCAAAACATTTCTATATTTAATTGACAAATTTTTCGGAATAGAATTTAAACGATTAATATTTTGTTAAGATAAAAAAATGAGGGCAAAATCTAAGTATAAATCTCAAACGATCTCTCACAAACTCTAAATTCTCAACAAAAAAAAAGAGTTTTTCGAGAGAGCATCAACAATTACTCGTGTGGTGAGCGGAAGACCGCAAATGAAGCAGAAGAAACAAAGTCCAACAACGAGTCGAATTTCAGTATGTCTGTTTGCTTTATCGAACTTTTTTAGCACTGATGAAATGATCATTTCTATCCTGAAATATCAATCAATCGAACCACGAATTAATGACCAAAACTGAGGAAACAACTGTGGATTGATTTATGGCTTCTCGTTTGACATTTATTTTATCTAGAGAAATATTCCTTAGTTTTTTCTAGGGAAATATTCCATTTCTTAGTTTCAGCTTATTTAGCATTAGATCATATGAGATCGATAGAAATAAAGTTTAGTATTGAAAGTGATCGGTCAAACTGTTCAGATCATTGATTGTCAATCACGACGTTCCATCGTATAGGTAGGAAAATGTTTTCAAAGGAGGATATGAATTCTTAACGGAGAAATGTACAATTCCAGTTGATTGGTGTGAAAGAAGAAACAATCACAAAAAAGTTGACGAAATCATTTTCAGTGACATTCTTGGAACTCAAGAGGGACATTATTTCGCTGATCACTTTATTTAACATGTACCATCGAAACTCAATGAAATACCATGCAAATTCGGCGTCAAGTGCCGAAAGCGTGAGCATCGCAAAGAAGAGCGCTGCCCACAACGGTCCACCCATCATGTCCATGAACGACGTCACACCAGGATATATCGTGAATGCTATGTACAACGAATCGTGTTCTAACAATAAAATTCTGTTAACAATTACTTTGAAAACATGCAAATTGAATTCAAGTCTTACGGAGAGCGGTCAGTGTGAATAACTGCTTCATCCAGTGTACCCTGGAAGGAAAATTCCCATTGGAAAGGCAGAGAGGGGACAACTTGAGAGGGCCTGGAGGAATTGAGAAGATTGGCAAATCGCTGTTGCTTGATACGTTCAAATCACTCTTTCACATTTTTGCAATGAAGTTTCAAAAATATTCGTTTGATCGATCATAAGAAACTGATTCCTTCGATTGTTGACATCAAACTGCCTGATCATTGGATCAATTTACTGATTTTCTGCTGATTTGTGGCAAAGAAATAATGAATTGTTTACGATTATAGAAAATGTATCATCAAAAAGCTGACTTGAGCAAAACGTTGACTACATTGACGGAGATTTCTAGAAACACATTAGAGAGGGTATTTGATTGGGTAGTATTCGTCGAGAAACGGAGTTTCTTTCGGAGACTCGGACGAGGAGCCATTTGTAGCCATTCCTCGTCTTT